CTCACTATGAATAAAATTATTCCCTAACAGCGAAAAAGCTAAAATATTGTTTGGAACTAATTGGGAAAAATTGTTGATGTTAGGACGGTTCGAGTGAACCTGGAGCTGGAGTGGCTAGTTTTCATACAAACTGATGTGGCAGCTTCGCTTTTAATGGAAATCGAAAAATTTAAAAATGACATTTTTCTTTGTTATATTGTTAAGAACATGGCCGTAAATGAGAGTTTTATTTCATTTAGTTTGCTCGCAATAGGTCCGTAAAGTAGGCTAATTTTTGCGCAAAGTTGACTGGTCAGCGGCATGGGCGACCGCCAAGCTTTATAAAAGTTCGATTTACTAGCTTTACGACGAGTTTTTGTAAAAACTAAATAATGGCCATTCGAGAGAAAGCTTATGAGAATATACTTATACTTCTAACCTTCTTCTAGCTTGCGAAACCACGACAGACAATTTCTTTAAAGTCTAGCCGTCTGATTTCAAGCACGCACTCGTGGCATAAATTTAATCCCTTCGCGAAGGCAACTAACCCGGTTTCTGCAAATTTTCGTTTTTCCACTTAGGTTTATTGAACTGTAAATGTCATATCATCAATGCTAACAATTATTCGAATACTTTAAACCAAAAAAAAAAAACCCTCTTCTGTCTGTAATATGTTACGATCCCCGAGCGGGCACGAAGGTAGAAATGCATGTAACCAAATGAGTGAAATTATTTAGATTATAGAGTGTTGAAATTGTGCACTCATCTTAAGTTAGAATGAGCTATATTGCAAATTCTGTAAAAACAGCATTTCTTAATGACCGTAAGCTGACTTGCTTTATGGCAATTTAAACAGATACTTTTCCACGTTTGTGGATTTTCGTGATCGAACACTGTGAATGTTGCTGACATATCGTAGTCAAACAGACGAGACGGGAAACTATAGAATATGTCTGGATTACGTAGTTCATCTGGGAGGAAATTCCATACACGCGACACTCGTAGCATATAGCTGTTCTATTATAGCTATAATAATTATACTCGATAAAATATAATAGGCCGATTTCAGTTTTGAGTCATTTCATAATAAATGTTTAGGTCAGGTTAGCTCCGGAAATTGTGTACTTGGTTTGAAATAACGAGGGGTTGTTGTATGCATCTATTTCAAGTTTAATACAATATTATGATTATTAAGTGCTGTTTTAGCACAAAAAACAGTTGACTCAGTGGGAAAAATTAATTTTTACGAGAGTTTTTGGGACGCTACATGATTTCTTTTATACTAAATAAACATGCATGCATGTTTGTTTTGAGCGTATTCAAACTAATTATTGATGGTTGTAAATTTACATGTTTCCTCATTGTAGATAATCCTCTCCCTCCCTGCTCAAGCTTTCCTCAAACAAAATTGAACAATTTTCGGCTGAACAGTAGTCATCTGTCTAGAATGCTGTCACAACTTGTTGTGCTTTTAATAATAGTATTACAAAAAACACGGTTTTTACTATGTTCACTATTAGCTCTACTGAGCTACATCTCCTTAAAACCATGCGTCCATTAATTCATGTAGGCGTCGATCGTTTCATTTACCGCATGAAGGAGCTTTTTTACAGGCCCATCCGCAGTGCCATTTATCACAACACCTGCAAGCGTTGTCATGCGCCAAGCACGCTTTGGTTGCTAATTTGCAACAGCCCTGGTAATTTCCACAACATCCGAGATCAGTTCCTTTGAGATACCAGCCTAACTTATTGTACCAATGATGACATCTGATTGGACGGCGTGGGCGCCGCCGACGCCACCATCCATTGGCCACCATCGCCAAACTCAAAACAAGACTTAGAATGAAAACCAATCGCAGAACTCTCATCATTAAAAAAGCTTAAAAAGAAAACACTTTGGAAATCAATCAAAAACATACAAGAAACGAGAAATGCGAGGTATTTCAACGATTTTCATAGTTCGTAGCCCTGCCATAAATTTGGAACCTCCTAAAAAATATCACGGTCATGCACTGTGTGTGAAGATCGGTTATATGACTGCGGCATTGTGTAAGGTAGGCACAAGGTTTTACTACATAAATTTTGACTACATAAAAAACTTACCTGAGGACAGGATTTTGCAAGGACACGTTCACGTTGTAGACTCCAACACGATCTGATCAATCCAAGACCAAATACAAAGTTTTATCACATTGGTGTTTTGAAATGTACAAGATGCTCGCTGGCACATTTTCACATGCCGGAAAATGACCAATAAGTAAGATCCAAAGCTATCTCAGCTCGGCATTTTGTATCTGCCATTCAAACAAATGATCTTTTTTGTTTAAAGTCATGATTCTGTCAATATGCGGCGTTTCTGTGGTTTGATCTAATTAACCTGTGTACAATTTTGTTATTAAGATTAAACAGATGTACAGTAGTATAACAATTATATTGAAGTTAGCAAAGATATCAAGACGATTGAGCTATGCAGTGCTAGGATTAAGAAACCTAAATAACTAATACGGTGTTACAATAAGTTATACAATTAGGTGCATGATAGATCTTATTCAATGAATGAAGTGTAATCAGCCTGGCGTGCTATTTCGAAGAGAAAGAATATCTAGTTACGCCGCCGTCAACAACTGTTTAATATATTTGTGCTTATAATGACTTGCATCCGCCATTAATGACCATAAAAAAATGATTTTACCTGAAAAACCGGTCAATATCCCTTTTTGGTGAGATACCATGATCTCATATCTTACGTGTTCTCTTTACAAATCAAGCGTTGTTGTTCAGTAAATAACTATTATATAGCTTTTAAAACCAGTTTTCCACCGTATTTTTCGCGTGATGCGCCATTTTGTTTTAGTTTTATCTCTATATGTTAGATTCCCAAATGGATTCTTGTCAGGAAAACTCACTCAAACTATATACGATCCTGTTTCAAATGCATTACGTCAGCACGCATGTAAGGCTATACAACAGGGGCCGGTTGTATGAAAGCCGGATAGCGCTATCCACCGGATAGTGATTTTTTCAATCGCTTTAAAATCGCCCGTTGTTGGATATAACTTTGATCAAATCCTAGTATTCCTAAATTGAAGATCCTCTTTAACAATAGTTGGTTACAAAGCTGACATTTTATTGCCATTCAAGCATTTTTAGAAGGGTTGAAAAAATCACTGTCCGGTGGATAGCGCTATCCGGCTTTCATACAACCTAGACATTGTTTTATCTGACATTTAAAGTGACGCTTTTATCTTACTTTGAAGTGATACTTCTTTCCAGTCGCACCTATTGCATAACTTGTTAAATAAATAACATGTCCAATTAAGGCAATTTAGTAGTTGAAATTTAACATGCCCAGTTGAACCCATACCCATATCGAACAACAATAACCATAACCAAGGCTAGCTTGAATAAGTCTTAGCTAGCTTTAAATTATGGATTAAGTTGAATCTTTCAAAAAAGGAGTTTTATTTTGGTAATTTTTTTTTCGGATGGTAAAATTACCGGATGCATTGTGAAGATCTTACTTTGAAGTGATACTTCTTTCCAGTCGCACCTACTGTATTGCATAACTTGTTAAATAAATAACACGTCATATTAACGCAATTTAGGAGTAGAGATTTAACATGCATGCCCGGGAGGTGAGTAGAACAACAATAACCATAACCAAGGCTAGCAATTGAATAGGTTTTAGCTAGCTTTAAATTAGATTAAGTTGAATCGTTCGATAAAGGAGTCATTTTACTTCTGGTGAGGGAAAACGATGTTTTTGTTGGAAAGTTTGAAGTTTTGTTTTGAGTTCTTGCAAACTATCAGTAGTGCTTTCATAACCGTAATTTTTACTCTAATTCATAAATTAATTGACTCGTAGCTATATGTGCTGACCTTTCCACGTAAATGCACTGAATGATGATAGTTTGTCATTTTTAGTAACAAAAGGGTTGAAATTGTATATACTATATTTCTATTGAGTGCGCATTGGAACAGGAGGGTGGTTTAAAAAAATAAATTCAAAAAGAACATCAGGGTATAAATATCATGTATAAATATATGATATATAAATATATATGATTTTAACTTACAAGAAGTTTTTAATATGGGTAATATAACGCTTTTAGCACGCGCTCCTTCACTTTGGTGTTGTTGAGCACTCTGGGAAAGCTATAATAGGTGCTAATTAGCATATAATGCAAAGCTCACTTCCATTGTGGTCGTTCAAGCACTGTGGCCCTACTGCATGTCTATACACACGTACAGACATGCAGTGGCTCGATCTGTGTTGAACCACTTGCGGTTAGTGAGAGCAAACATACATGCGTAGATACGGTAGTAATCTCGTTTGTAGATGTACCAAGCTGCGCTGATGAGACGCTAAACACAGCTCAAAACAAAGTTTCAAGCATAAAAGTTTACAATTGCACGCCCTTCCCCTTTCAAAAAGAAATCGAATTTAAGAGAGTTACCCATGTGAGAATGGACGACTTGCGCTTTAGACTAATTTCTTACCTCGGCGATAAAAAGGACATTTTTTGAAAGAGCTTACTAAAATTAGTAAAACTGCCATGCACGTTTGGCTGCGAATTGTTGTGAATTACGGAAAATATAGCCATGCAAAGTTTGTATACTTTTTTTATTACGGCCGGAAGTTTGTAACTAATTTAGTTACACATTTCCGCACGTGCATGTAATATTACAAACGTATACAAAATTTGCCAACTTCGCATGGCTATATTTTCCGTATTTTACAAAATTTCGAAGCCAAACTTTGCATTCCCACTAATTTAGGTATTTATTTTCTTCTAGATACTTCGCTCAAAAATTAGTCTAAAGCGCCATTGGAACCCTCGCCTTATTACAATTACACACGGCCCTATTATTTATACGGGAATAAGCCCCATTACGATTACTGGTGAACAGGAATATATCATACATAAGCACTCTGAGAGAGTAACCTTGGCGCCAGCTATGATAATGCCCGCCACTCTCGGCGCTGTTTTGCAACTAAAAATATGGAAGAAGTCTTACCTCTCGTTTGTCGAGGTCAGGACAGATGAGCGACTCGTTTTCTCAAAATAATGCTTCAACGTCGAGGTGCTCAGAACAAAACCAACGAATGAAAAAATTGCCAGGCAAACGCAGAACGTCTGAAACGTGATAATAAATTCCTTGTCCCAGAAATAGTAGGATATGAACACTGACGTGGAACCGATGGCAGAGAAAAATGATGAATAGCTGTTAAGTTTCGTTCGTTCCTCTTCACTAAGAGCGAGGTCAGCAAGCAAGGCTGAGTGATTTAGGTCGATAAGTGTTAAAAATGCATCGTATATACAAAGACATATCACAAATTGTAGCGAAGGTTGCAGCCAGCTGAACCAGAAAGATAAAAAACCCAGAACAAATACGGGACTAAATTTCATCAGCGCTCTAGAGGGTGATTCAAAACAAGAATGGATCAATACGCAGTTGTTTAAAACCTTTCAGCTTAAACCAAAGAAAACTGGGTTATAAATGCATTTTACATCCCAACAGCTTGTTCACAGTGACAAATTGATCTCGGATGTTTGAATCGTGCAAGAAGAAACAGGCACGCCGGAATGGTGCGAGGGTAAAGTGGGGGGGGGGGGATTTTGGTGAAGTGGCATTTCTGTAGCAGGGCATACTAGAGAACGTTTGTAGAACTTCGAACTTCGTTAATTTCATCGCGTTTTAGCTTCAGAATGATTTCAGCAGCTAGGAGTTTGTCGATTGTCATGTTTTTTGACAGTAGCGTAGCCAGCCTGTCGATTTGTCCCGCTATGCTAATATTTTAATGTTTACTGACTGTGAAAACAATAGATTTCTAAAGACATGAATAATTATAATAACTCGAAATTTACATAGCGGGACAAAATCGTCAGGCTGGCTACGCCACTGTTTTTTGAATTGTTGGTTGCACTTCTACAGTTCTACTTATGATAAAATGTAAACCTTTAAAGTGAAAGGTAATCTTTGCCCCCAACCCCCCTCCCTTGCTCCAGCTGTCAGCATCCCTGAGAAAAAATTATATTTTTGTCTACATAGCTCAAAAAGTTGTGGAAATTGGTGGGAATATTTTTTAACATATTAAGCATCATAATAAAATCTTCACAGCTAAGCAACTGTACCTTATTCTTTTACGAACAATTTCAATGGAGCCAACATGACTATAAAAAATATCACAGTGCATAAGCACTACATGAAGTACATTCCAGGTATACAGGGGGACCCCAAATAGTGCAAATAAATAATAATAATAATAAAGGCCTGGCATGGTCCAATGCAATGTCTCAACACTGCACAATACTCTCCTAAATGACTTAATAAATCAACTGTGTCATTCTTTGTGACAAAGTTGCCTAGGCAATACCATCAACCAAAGTGCATCAACTTACATGTTATTTTCTAATGATCCATGGTCACTGATCCAGCCAAAAAGTGGATCATTCAATGAATTCCAAACAAGAAAGACAGCCTAATAGAAAAATTTTCCTTTAAAAAATACTTATTTTATCAAATCAAAAACTATTTACATGCAAATACAGGGGTGGAGAGGTTATTGCAACTCACTATGGTATTGCCAGATATGCAGAATTCTCTTGTTAATACCTCACAGTCATGCAAAACAGTGTTAACACTAGCAAGGATATTTTATGTAAGCATGTACTTTAATGGAGCTAAAAGTTTCTTCATAGTTTCCATATCCAGTGAATTATGAGATCAGTGATTCACTGTGTCACAGACAGGTCACTCGACAGATCACAGTTAAAAAGAAATTCAAGTGAAAAACTTTGCTCAGTCAAAAATTTCTTATAAATCGTTTACTTCCTCTGCCCATCCTGAACTTGTGTTAATCACTGCCCAGGTATTAATTAATTGTTATATATAGGTGCTATGTATTTCAAATGTGATTGGTTCATTCATAGTCACATGACTTTAAATAAATGCAATGTTTCCCGCCAGGGAAACAAGTGAAAATTTGTTGCCCGCTTCTTTTCATAACAAAGTAAAGTGGTTTTTTTTTAAATGAAATTGTTGTGTAACATGTATGTTTTTGTCCCTATATAACAAAACACTTATTAACGTATACACTACCTCAGGAAATAGTGAGTTTTGTTTTCCCTTGAGTCTCAATGTTTCCATCAACTTCCTCTCGGGAAATATTCAGACTCTTGGAAAAACAAAAGTCACTATTTCCCTCAGGATCATACATTAGGTGTATATTGTTGAACAGTGAAATGTGATGTATGAGTTAAGGAACAAACCACTAGAACTTTAATAATTTAACAGAATAGACATAAATTGCAATTTTAATATTTGCAAAGTTCTGATTTGGGCAAGTGTATTCTTGCTATAGTATTCTTTCAAGAGACTATCAGGTGTGAGCTCACATACATACACCACTGTGTTCAGTGTGCACCTATTCAGGGCATGCAGCAACCCTGAACATTTTTCAAGCAATTTTCTTTCTTGGAGTGATTGCATTTTACATTTTTTTCCACTGCAAAATAACCTAAAAACTACTACAAACTCTTCTTTTATATAGGGCCTGCTTCAAACATATGTGCTTGAGCATTTAACTTTAGAAGGTAAATGCGCTGGAAACATGACAGGCCAAATATTAATTGAAATAGTTATACCTAATGTATCACAATGCTATGTAATGACTTGCACCAATATAATTCAAATAATTTAATTTAACTTTCCCACACAACAGGTTGAAACTAAGCAGTTGTCGAGACAAGTCCAGAGATTAGCTTCTGCGGCGGGAGACATATGTGTAAATAAGAATTCCACTGTTAAAAGTACATGTTAAAAGTACATAGTAGTTCTTCAATCAGAAGGGTATTAATAAATTCTCAAAATCTGAATTCAAAGTTTTTTTGTAAAGGAGGTGATATTAAAGTTCTTTTACACATACAGATATAAATGTTCTTTTACACATACAAAGGGATTTCTTGGGGATTGCAAAACTTAACATGCTAATTCTATTTTGGACAAACTGCCCTTGAGAGAGCCAATCAAACTGGAGGAACCTTTTATGTGCATCAGCAATATTGTAATTAATAATAATATATAATAATATTAAAGCCACGTATATATTGAAGGTTTTCCTACACAGCATTAGGTCTAGCGTATGGTGACAAGTAAAAGTTTGTTTATTTCTTTCATGCTTTAGCGATTTTTAACAGGTGTATATCTTTAGAGGCAGTTTTTTAATACATCTCATTCTTTAATAAAAGATTTTTATATCAAGGTTAAATACGATTATTGGAAGAAGAACAAAATATCTCAGAGTTAAACAATCTTACATACGAGTTATTTGAATAGAAATAACGTGTCTTAGTAAATAAAGAGCGCAGTACAAACCTCGCCAATCCAAAACGACGTCTTGTCTATCTTGTAGACGGACACGAATATCTCAACATAGTACAGGAGAAAGACATTGTGAAGTATCGACCAGAAGAGAGCGATAGAGCCGTACGAGATACGGACAACTTCCATGGGCTCCATCGCGAAAAAAATGAAAAGAAAACAAAGATTTTCCTGATCCTAAATTGAAAGACGGCATACCGAACAAAAACACTCTCAATGACTTCTAGTGATGACTTCTGACTATTATATTTAGTCTCCTCTCCATTTCCTGTTTCACTAATTTTGCCTCATTAAAATTCATGTTAGAACCGCTCACCATGACAACTGCATGTTCACAGGAAACATTCATGATCCACTGAGCTGTATATAATCACTGGAGGAAATGCAACTTTTGTAAAGTGGTATAACAACCCCCTAAAATAGACAAAACATATATAGCTATTTGAAGACGCTGCCACGCTGCTCCCTTGTTATATCATTAAAAAAGAACGGACCATGTTATCTTCAGTAGCGTAGCCAGCATGACGATTGGTCCAGGTATGCTAATATTTTGGTGTTCATTGACTGTAAAAACAATAAATTTTTAAATACATGAATAATTATAATGACATGAAATTTACATAGCGGGACAGAATCGTCAGGCTGGCTACGCCACTGTTTATCTCAACGTTCATTAACAACTTTTTGGGATGAACTTATACCTCGGATAATTCATTACTATTCCCTCGTTTGTCTCTATCAAAAGTAGACAATCGCCAGCGCAAATTTTTCGAGTACTCATTGCGCCACTGAAAACAGTGCGCGAAAATCTTGGAACGAGGATGTAATTTTGTCTAACACCTCCACACGATGTACGCGAAAAACCTGCCGTCGAGGATGAGCACTTCCAATCTCATTCTCCTTCCCAGGTTTTTCGCATACTGGGAACGAGGATGCACGCAACAGTAACTGTGAAGCTCAGCGGGCTTACTAACGTAATGCACTCGAATTTGTTTTTATTCCTTTGTCTTCTATAGACCCATTTTTATCGCATGTTTTGACCCTGTATACTAAACATGTCTCTTGACGAAGGCCCTTCGGTCCGAAACATGGGGAAGTGTTTTTTCCTAGGAAGTTAATTGTTATACCACATTTTTAATACCACTTTTATTTTGCGCGTTGAGTTACAGGTGTCCAATATCCATTCATGTAAATTGATGTATACATGAAGTCACGCAATAAAATTTCCAACAGTTTGCATCGCACCTCTTTTGTAAGTCAGCTTTTTTGCTGAAAGAAACTAATGTGTCTACGAAAAATGAAACTGAAAAAAAATTCCATGACAGCTAGGACCAATTTCTCACGCTGATCTCATTATTAATGAGTTGAAAGCAGTTTCTCACCGGTTCACTAACAAATGAGTTTTCCAACTAAGTTTTCCTTGAAACCAAAAGCCCGGCTCTCTTTGAAATTTTTTTCCGTGCTCTTGAGTGCGAATTTCTTTTCAAAACAGATATCGATGCGAAAGTGTAAAAGTTATCAATGCGATCTCAAAAAGTGTCTAAACCTGAACTTCCTTAACTTACCCGCTTGATCACATTTTTTGAAAGAATAAAATCGCCCAGCGTGTAAACAAAGAGGAAAAAACAAGATCTATATCGCGTGTCGAAAAAATACTCCAGTTTGATTCAAAATAGTTTCGTATCGATTAAAGATTATCGAAATGAAACAACTTTCATTAGTTAGAGCAAGGGCTAACTTAGATTTTAATATCTTATGCTTGCACTTTTTAAAATCGCTACATTATGCAAAGTACTCTGTATTTATGAAATGTTAATTATAATTAATATTGCTGAACAGGAGGACGCTTGCACTCATTAAAACTAGACACTTAACATACTGTTGCAATATATATATTTTTTAAAATAATTGGTCAAAGCCCGTCTTCCGATGTTGTAATTTGCGTATGGAAATCAAACTTGGGACACTACCTTGTTGCTGTTATTTTATAGGCAAAAGAAACTGGCTGTAACACAGTTTCTCACGACTGACATTGAAATATAAAACATTCCCGATGTGGCCTCTATTTTCATTTGTTTGTTTCCGATATTCTGTTTACTTTTCTTGTATGATTTTTGTATTATTAGCCTGTTTCTTTCTGCATGTGTTCTTCTTTCTTAAAGTAAGTTCGCTATATTCCGCGTTTCATTCAAGCATCGTACTGAATGCATGCAATGCAATGTTTATTAACTTATATCATGGCAAATAAAAGTGGCATATGTTGGCAATTATGATGATTTGAAAAAAGGTGTCGTGCATATTATTTTAATGATGAATATACATCGCATTAATACGTCTTCGTTCTTGTTTTCAGACAGGCAGACCTGGTGTCCGAACAGGTCTTCTGTTTGGAGTTGAGTTGCCTCTTTATAGAATTTTGAGGTGGATAAGAAATATCGAATTCTATTAAAGATAAGAGGTTTCGACTGACGGTAAACATGTCGCTTGTCCAACAAAAACAACGAGTGAATATGGAATTGATTTTGCAACCAAGACGTTTGCTTCGTGCATTCGTCAAAGTCAGTCTTTCGTTGCTGATATTCCTGAATTTTCAACCTTTTGGATATTGTCTTGATTTTTGCTTTCAAGGACCAAATGAAGGTGCGTATTAAAAAATTAATATCTTAAAGTTATTCTTTAACATTGCTAACAATATATATGCAGTTATATCTGTGCATCAAAGAAGTAACTTGCACAAAGAAAACCGCTGTGTGGAAGCAAACTTTGCAAGGACTTTACTGCGTAAGCGTATAGTCAAGAAACTATTAGCTACATGTACAAATGTTTCACTATTTCAGAACAAAATTTGAATATACCCGTCAAATTTAGCAACTATATCAACAGCGGTTTCAAAATGACCTTTCAGTTTTTGAAATGCACATTATTTGGTTCAAATAAGCGAGGGATTCTTCATCAATGCATTTCTACTTATCTACTTGCGAAGCTCTCACATTAGTAATACGCCTTCATTAATATTTAACTAGGTGTTATAATTGCTTCCTTTTTCGCTACAAGAAGTTTCGATCAGAAAAATCAACCATTTTGCGCTTGTTGTAAAAAGTATACCTGTTATTTACGTATTTTCACTATTCCAAAGGTCGTCGTTTGAACAGAGAAGTGATAGAAAAAGTCCACGCAGGAACGGGAGTAGAATGCATTTACTTTTGTGCCCGTGATAACGAAGCGTGTAGATCTACTAATTTCAAGAAATGCTCAAACTCAGAGAAAAATTGTGAATTCCTCCAAGATATTGCTTCAGAGATCCCTGCAAAACATTTTCATCGGCACAAAGAGTTTGATTACTACGAACTGACAAATCCTAATAGGACTAAAGTAAGTACATGAAATTTCAACAATTTTAATAACTACGAACGCTGAAACCTTATCAATATTTCATTATAACTAAAACGTGCACTTGTGGACGAAAAAGATTGATATGTTCATCATTACTCGACCTAGAGACGAGTACGCCGCATGAATAAACCTAAGAAATGAATCGAAAGAAATTCAGAAAAATATTATAGAATGTTGCGGAATATGAAAAATTTTGAAGAAACTGTAGCGATGACATATATAATATATACGCAGTTTTTTCTTCCTGATAAAACCGACTATAGTGGACGGGTTTTGGTAAACAATACTTTCATGTATATTTTATGTCCAATACGTGTATTCGCGCAAAATAAATACTGAATTATACATAGCACATATTGCTTTGATGTTCTCTTCCAGACTTGCACAAAGCCTGGTCAGATATACTCCTCAGGTATGTTTCCTAAGAATGCATAATTATAGAGTGGTCACTTTTAATGGATGCAATTTTTCCGGGCCAGCATAACCAGTTTTATCCTTTTTTAATTTAGTATTAAAACAGTGCTATTTAGTTTCATCTTGCAAAGACTTGCTACTCAACAAACCGTAAGTTTGATTTACATCACACAAGTTCGAGATTGTTTTCTTGTCTGCATTTTTGCTGGAAAGCATCTGAATTAAAATTTTTCATTTAATCTAGGTCTTTGCCCGATGGTGCTTACACCCTGCAGTTGAACAGTTACTCGACACCATACAAGGCATATTGTCACATGACAGATATCCCAGGTTGTGGAGCCGGAGGCTGGACACTAGTGTTGAAAGTGGACGGAAATAAGGCAAGATTTTATTGCAACCATCTCGAATCAATCAGATTCTTGTTTAATGAAGAATCAAAATAATTCCAAATGAATGATTACAAATATGAATTTCAAAACTTAAGTTTCTGCAAAATATAACAGATATTAACAGAAATAATTACTACAATAGTACAATTAAACTAGATTTGTGAAATTCATTAATAATTTATTTGTCTAACTTCCAATCATTGCGCAGTATTTTGGTCACATGCGTACATCTGTAATTCTCCATAACTTAAAGGTCTAGTAATTACTAAATAATAGTAATACTACTGTAGTCCTGTAGTACTTAGAATTGCTGGCTGATTAAACAATTTTTTTCATAGCCAAATTTCTACTATAATTCGTCTTTGTGGACAAATAAAGAAAGTTATGCAATTGAAGATGGACTCGAAGGACTTGCAAGGAAGGAAAGTAAATTGGACTCTTACTGGAACACTCCTTTTAAGAGAGTATGTCTTGGTATGACCGTTAATGGCGACAGAAGATGGATGGTGATCAAATACAAAGCACATTCGTTGTACAATTTGATCGCAGACGGAGAGTATCGAAAAACAGACGCTGAGGAAAGCATTTGGAAATCTTTGATCACAAACTCTTCCTTGCAAGAAAAATGCAACCTTCAGGGTTTTAATATTCTTAATAAAATTTTTCCTGGGCACGGTACGCATTTCGACATTAAAGCCCGAATTGGGTTGATCGCTAACAACGAAGATCACTGTGACAGCCCTGACTCCTGGATTGGTTTTGGTGTTAACCACCACGGTTTTCTTCAAAAAGTGAATCTAGCCTGTGGTGAATATAATAGGTGGCGTGAAAACATTCTAACATTAGGATACATATTAGTGCAGTGAAAATGACTCAGGCATTTCAGATGCATTACGTACCCTATAAAATCATTTGTAGTTCATCTCGTAGCTAAATGCTCTCTGCATGTTAGCACTTAGCATTGTATTCAGAATGGGAAAATTAAAATAATCAATCAACAAATAAAAGCTACAGAATCAATTTAATTTACCTTTTCTTTTGATTAGATGGTTCTTCAAGCATGGGCCCTGCAGACGCGGATCCTGTAAACTATAAGCAATAAATCCAAAGGATCTTTCATTTTCACCTTATATTAATAGAAAATCTACTCATGATTAGCATTTTCGAGTTCAAAATTATAAATACTTCTCGAAATATACCCAAAATATGAAGAACGGAGATGAACTGCTGGTATTTTAGAGTGTTTGAATATAACATCGTTATTTAGATCTTCCCAGCAATGAAAATGCAGTTTCATCGCAATATTCTTGATGAAATATATAACCTTAGAGGCTCTTCTACTAGAGTTCATGTTGCAATTCCAAAAACCGAATGCCTTAAACAAAGCTTTTGTTATAATGGAGCAAAATTATGAAATCAGACACCTGTGAGATAAATGGTCATTATTTCTAGCCTTATTTTGCAAAAAGCTTCGTTTTTACTGCTCTGTGTCTTATGTCTCTCATGATGGTTCATGTAATAATTCAGTGACAAGTTACTGAATTATTAAAAACTTGGAAATAAAAGTGCGAATTTTTTCCTTACTTCATTCGGTCGTTGTAACTGAAAGTCATACAATACAAATGTTTGATCTGGAATGGAAATTTCTGGGAAAGCCCATATAAGTTACCGTTTTCATACTAACTCTCCTAAGGTCGAAACGTCGAGAAGTGTTTTTTCTATTTTTAGCAGTTGTTATTCCACATTTGTTTCATTAACTAAAAACAATTTTTTAAGTGTTATATATTGGAAATAATATCCTGTAAAGTTTGTCGAAAAACAACTAATCTATAAAAAGCTTTTTATCAATGTCAAAGATGCAACTAAATTTAACGAAGCATGAATCAATGAGTTATGAAGTGGCCTTTTTTGGGATTATTTCGGTGTATATACAATAAACAATATTGATTGGTATATATAGATCATCGTGTTCAGGAAACGAATACTAATATTAGAAAAAGTTTTCCTCTCTTTTTCACCCATCATCGTGCATCGATCCTACTGAATCCAAAGCTTTTAAACTTTAATATTTTAACTTTTCTTAATTTGTTAATCTTTCCATGTCTGACAGTCTGCCATTCGTTTCGGCATGTTACATATACCTCGAAGAATAAGTATGTTTGTTAAAGCTAAAGTGACATATGTTACTAATGATAAATTGAAAAGGACGATTGCGTGGCGGATTTAACTCTCTACCGCAGATGAATGCATCTCATTAACAAGTCTTCGTTCTTGTTGTCAGACACGCAGACCCAGTGTCAGAATAGGTTTTCCTGTTGGAGTCTATAACATTTTGAGAAGGAATTTTACTTTATGATAAAAGGTTTCCACTTGTCGCTTGTCCAACATGTGCCTTGTCCAACAAAAACAACGAGTGAATATGGAATTGATTATGCAACAAAGACGTTTGCTTCGTACATTCGTCAAAGTCAGTCTCTCATTGCTGATATTCCTGAATCTTCAACCTTTTGGATATTGTCTTGATTTTTGCTTTCAAGGACCAAATGAAGGTGTGTATTGAAAAATTAATATCTTAAAGTTATATATATCTGTGTATCAAATTATAAGTGACTTGCACAAAGAAAATCGCTGTGTGGAAGCACATCTTGCTGGGACTTTACTGCATGCGTAAGCGTAATCAAGAAATTATTAGCTAACATGTTTCTCTCTTTCAGAACAAAAACTAACTGAATATTCGCGCCACATTTATAATTTATTAACTAAACAGCGGTCTTACAATGAAGCAGTTTTTAAAATACGTATTAATAAGACCCGTTTGAGACGTTGAACTTTTCATGTGACGAATCATATGCAAATAAGCTTATTAAGTTCATTGTAACATTAGGTTCGGCACATGAAAAGTTTGACGTCTGAAATGGGCCTATTTTGTTCAAATAAGAGAGGGGATTCTAAATTCTTCACCAATGCATTTCAGGACTCGCATTAGTAAGACATGCACCTTCATTAATATGTAACCATGTGTTGATTGCTTCCTTTTTCGCTACAAGAAATTCCGATTAGAAAAATCAACAATTTTGCGCTTGCTGTATAATGTTACATATTATTTACCTATTACCTAATTTCACTATTCCAAAGGTCGTCGTTTGAACAGCGAAGTGATAGAAAAGGTCCACGCAGGAACGGGAGTAGAATGCATTTACTTTTGTGCCCGTGATAACGAAGCGTGTAGATCTACTAATTTCAAAAAATGCTCATCAAACTCAGAGAAAAATTGTGAATTCCTCCAAGATATTGCTTCAGAGATGCCTGAAAAAGATTTTCATCGGCACAAAGACTTTGATTATTACGAATTGACAAGTCCTAATAGGACTAGGGCAAGTATATGGAATTTTGGCGGTTTTCATATAATTATCAAACAATTTGCAAAATTTTTATCACTACTATGAAAGCCATAGCAACATCACATAAAAATAGGTGTTGGCAAATTAAGTGTCCACTAATTCTGCTCATACGGGAGTTACATATTGCACATAGCTGCTTGTTTTGTTAAAATAATGTTTAAGAACTACTATATAAAACGTTTATACAAAATATTTTAGCAGCCAATGCTTTTTACGTCGAAATGTGGTCTGTGGACATGCCATTCATGATCCATTTTGAATTCATCTTGGAAAAATCATATTTGAAAATTTAACTTGTGATGTTGCACAATATTTAAGCATTGCAAATGCCCTCGAACGAGATATTCTTCCAGATTTACGAGTTTAATTTCGAGATCTAGAAATGAAATATAAACGTTCGAGGTATTTACATACCAGATAAATCTTCGTGCTTTAATGAGTCCAAACGAATATATTCTTTTCGTTTTTGTAGGCTTTTCCACAATCTTGCACAGAATTGTTTTTCAAGAATACGTAAGTTAAAAAGATAGATTTACACCAGTGGACAAAGGTCCATTACAGTCAATGAATTTCAACCTTTAATTTATTCCAGAATTTTTTTAGCAGATTTTTTATAACCATGTCTAGATCATTGCTCAATGGTGTCTACACCTTTCAGAAGAATCATTCCTCACCACCATATAAGGTATATTGTCACATGACAGATATCCCAGGATGTGGGGTTGGAGGTTGGACCCTAGTGATGAAGCTTGATGGGACTAAGGTTAGATTGCAGTTATGAAGAGTATAGTGCGTATTAATTTTTAAACAATCAATTTGTAATGAAAATGATGAATTTTAATTTTGAAGAACTTTCAATTTTCCAGAAAACATTTGAGTATCGTTCCTCCTTGTGGACAAACAAAGAGGCATACGCAGTACAAGATGGTCTGGAAGGATTGACAGAGAAAGAAAGCAAGTTGGCTTCGTATTGGAATACTCCGTTCACAAAGATTTGTCTGGGTATGTCGTATAACGGGACACGAAAATTGATGAGCTTCAACTACACCGCAACTTCGCTGTACAGTGTGATCGCAGACGGCCAGTTTAGGGGAACGGGGGCTGGTAGAGCAGCATGGAAATCCCTGATCGCCAACTCGTCACTTCAGAGGAACTGCAACATGGAAGGATTTAATAATATACAAATTGCGAATGGAAACCGAATGCGAATTGGACTCGTTGCCAATGAACAGGAAGATTGTAATTCGTGTGATTCTTGGATTGGCTATGGAGCAAGTTTCACTGGATGGACTTGTGGAAATGTTGCTAGGCACCAACCTGATAACGGTGATAAAAATTTGGCGACGTTTGGATACATTCTCGTTCAATAATCAACCAGTAAAATAGCACGCTATCTTCTAGTCAATATTAAGATAACTTATGGGTTGTAAAAACGTGATAATTTCTTGCATATAATTTGTACGTGATTGTAGGTTCAGCATTTATATATTCAGAGTAACGAATTAGCATAAACGGCGACAATTCAGAGACATTAAAATATTATAGCATGTAAATTCTAGGCCTTCCAAAAATATCATCAAAAATAAGGCTTTGATTGTTAATATAGGTAACGATTTCTAACAGGTGTATAGCTTTAGAGGCAGTTTTTTAATGCATCTCATTCTTAAAATATATTAAGGTTAAATACCATCAAATTATAAGATTATTGGAAGAAGAACAATCAATCTCAGAGTTAAACAATCTTAGATACGAGTTATTTGAATAGAAATAACGTGTCTTAGTAAATAAAGAGCGCAGTACAAACCGCGCCAGTCCAAAACGATGTCCTGTCTTTCTTGTAGACGGACACGAATATCTCAACATAGTACAGGAGAAAGACATTGTGAAGTATCGACCAGAAGAGAGCGATAGAGCCATACGAGATACGGACAACTTCCATGGGCTCCATCGCAAAAAAAATGAAAAGAAAACAAAGATTTTGCTGATCTTAAATTGAAAGACGGCATACCGAACCAAAACACTCTCAATGACTTCTGACTATTTCTAACTTCTCCATTTCCTGTTTTACTAATTTTGCCTCATTAAAATTCATGTTACAACCGCTCACCATGACAACTGCATGTTCACAGGAGATATTCGTGATCCACTGGGCTGTATATAATCACTGGAGGAAATGCTATTGTTCAGTTTAATATTAATGTGGTATAGCAACTGCCTGAAATAGACAAAACACTTCTCGACGTTTCGACCTGAGGGCCTTCATCAGGAGAGTTAGCACAGGAGAATACTAACCCTCCTGACGAAGGCCCTCAGGTCGAAACGTCGAGAGCTGTTTTGTGTGTTTTATACATTTGTTATACCACATTTGATGCTAAGTTATTTGAAGACGCTGCCATGCGCGCTGCTCCCTGGTTATATTATTTTTAAATGTTATTATTAGTATTTTCTGCAGTTAGATATGAAAAAGAACGGACCATGTTATCCTAACGTTCATTAACAACTTTTTGGGCTGAACTTTCATACCTCGGAGAATTACTATTCCCTCGTTTGCCTCTATCAAAAATAAACAATGGTTAGCGCAAAGTTCCCAGGTATTTCGCGTAGTGGGAACGCGGATGTAATTTTGTGCAACACTCCCACACGCAGTACGCGAAAAATCTGCCGACATTCTGCGGTTTTTTCCAGGTTTTTCGCATACATCGAACGAGATTGCACGCACCAGTAACTGTGAAGCTCAGCGGGCTTACTAACGTAATGCATTTGAATTTGTTTTTATTCTTTTGTTTTCTATAGGTCCATTTTTATCACGTGTTTTGACCCTATATAATAAACATGTGTTCTCCGCTCCGAATTATGGAGAAGTGCTTTTTCCTATTTTAGGCAGTTATGTGTTATACAACATTTTTTATGCCACTTTTTTATCTTGCGGGTGGAGTTGCAGGTGTCCAATATCCACTCATGTAAATTGATGTATAGAGCCACGCAATAAAATTTCCACTATAGCGATATTTTTTGCGCAAAGCAAATTTTTCTCCGGGCTGTAAAAATGGGCGAAAAATGGTGGAAGATCGCCTTAGAGCAGAATTTTGCTTGACGAGCGAATTCTTTTACTTGTTCGCGTGTGTTCAGTCCGAAACAAAAACCGTTTTGAAAGGGTCAATAATTAGCAATATACGTCGGATAATGAACTAATAAGAGCTAATTGAAAGCGTTAATGAAACCACTGAATAATATTATAACCTTAGATGCTCTTCTACTAGCTTGTTTCAATGCCAAAAACTAAATACCGTAAACAAAGCTTATTAGCTCATTATTCCTAGCCTCATTTTGCAAAAAGTTTTCTTCCTTGACCTCTGATATCATTTTCTAAATATTGTTTAATTTGTATGTAATAATATACAGTAATGTCGTGCATTAATGAGAATACCTTTACTTATTTGTATATATTTTTAAGCAGTTTGCATCATACCTATTTTGTAAATATTCAGCTTTTTTGCTGAAAGAAATTAATGTGTTTACGAACAATGAAACTAAATAAAATTTCCATAACAGGACCAAATTGTCAGGCTGATCATACTATCAATGGGTTTTTAAAGTAGTTTCTTAACGGTTCACTAACAAATGAGTTTTTAAGTTTCTGTTTCTTTTTGTGTTCTTTTTTCGCAAGCTTAAGTTCGCTATATTCCACGTTTCATTCAAAGCATCCTACTAAATGCAATACAGTTTGTCAACATATATCATGGCAAATGAAAGTGGCATATGTTGGCAATTATGATGATTTGAAAAAAAGCGTCGTGCATATTTAATGATGAATATACATCACATTAACAAGTCTTCGCCCTTTTTGTCAGACAGGCAGAACGGGTGTCCGAATAGGTCTTTCTGTTGGAGTTGAGTTGCCTCTTTATAGAATATTGAGGTGGATAAGAAATATCGAATTGAAGTAAGATAAGAGGTTTCGACTGATGGTAAACATGTCGCTTGTCCAACAAAAACAACCAGTGGAATTGATTTTGCAACCAAGACGTTTGCTTTGTGCCTTCGTCAAAGTCAGTCTTTCGTTGCTGATATTCCTGAATCTTCAAACTATTGGATATTGTCTTGATTTTTGCTTTCAAGGACCAAATGAAGGTGCGTATTGAAAAATTAATATCTTAAAGTTATTCTTTCACATTGCTAACAACATATGCAGTTATATCTGTGCATCAAATTATAAGTGACTTGCACAAAGAAAATCGCTGTGTGGAAGCACATCTTGCTGGGACATTACTGCGTAAGCGTAGTCAAGAAATTATTAGCTAACATGTTTCACTATTTCAGAAAAAAAACCAACTGAATATTCGCGTCACATTTGTTGACTAAACAGCGGTTTCAATATGACCTTTCAGTTTTTGAAATACATATTAATTTGTTCAAATAAGTGAGAGGGTTCTTCACCAATGCATTTCTAGTTATTTACTTGTCAAACACTCGCATTAGTAAGACACCTTCATTAATATTTAACCATGTGTTAATTACGTCCTTTCTCGCTAGAAGAAGTTCCGATCAAAAAAATCAACAATTTTGCGCTTGCTGTATAATGCATTTACCTGTTATTTACCTTTTACCTAATTTCACCATTCCAAAGGTCGTCGTTTGAACAGCGAAGTGATAGAAAAAGTCCACGCAGGAACGGGAGTAGAATGCATTTACTTTTGTGCCCGTGATAACGAAGCGTGTAGATCTACTAATTTCAAAAAATGCTCAAACTCAGAGAACAATTGTGAATTCCTCCGGGATATTGCTTCAGAAATGCCCGAAAAAGATTTTCATCATCACAAAGACTTTGATTACTACGAACTGAAAAATCCAAATAGGACTAAGGTAAGTATATGAAATTTCAACAATCTTAATAATTACATGTACAAATGCTGAAACCTTATTAATATTTCATTATAATTAAAACGTGCACTTATGGAGAAAGAGAATTGATATGTTCGTCATTGAAACAGACTATATACAGTGGACGGGTTTTGGTAAACAATACTTTTATCTATTTTTTATATCCAATACGTGTATTCGCGTAAAATAATTACCGAATTATACATAATAACTACATATTGCATTGATGTTCTCTTTCAGACTTGCACAGAGCCTGGTCAGATATACTCCTCAGGTATGACTCCTAAGAATGCAAATAATCATAGAGTGCAATTACTTTCATACGGAATTTTTAATTTATGAAATTTTTTTCGGGGCAGCATAACCAGTTTTATCATTTTCAATTTAGCATTAAAACAGTGCTATTTAGTTTCATCTTGCAAAGACTTGCTACTCAACAAACCGTAAGTTTGATTTACATCACACAAGTTCGAGATTGTTTTCTTGTCTGCATTTTTGCTGGAAAGCATCTGAATTGAAATTTTTCATTTAATCTAGGTCTTTGCCCGATGGTGCTTACACCCTGCAGTTGAACAGTTCCTCGACACCATATAAGGCATATTGTCACATGACAGATATCCCAGGTTGTGGAGCTGGAGGCTGGACACTAGTGTTGAAAGTGGATGGAAATAAGGTAATTTTGACCACATTATGACCATCTCGAATCAATCATATTCTCGTTTAAGAAAGAATCAAAATAATTCTAGTACTTAGAATCGCTGCCTGATTAAACATTTTTTTCATAGCCAAATTTCTTCTATAAATCGTCTTTGTGGACAAACAAAGAAAGTTATGCAGTTGAAGATGGACTTGAAGGACTTACAGAGAAAGAAAGTAAACTGGCTTCTTACTGGAACACTCCTTTTAAGAAAATATGTCTTGGCATGACCGTTAACGGCGACAGAAGATGGATGGTGATCGAATACAAAGCACATTCGTTGTACAATTTGATCGCAGACGGACAGTATCGAAACACATCCGCTGAGAAAAGTATTTGGAAGTCTTTGATCGCGGACTCTTCCTTGCAAGAAAACTGCAACCTTCAGGGTTTTAATATTCTAAACGAAATTTCTCCCTGGCACGGTCCGCATTTCGACATTAAAGCCCGAATCGGGCTGATCGCCAACAACCAAGACGACTGTAAAAGCCCCGACTCCTGGATTGGTTTTGGTGTTAGCCACCACGGTTTTCACCAAAAAGTAAATCTAGCCTGTGGTGAATATAATAGGCGGCTTGAAAACATTCTAGCATTTGGATACATATTAGTGCAGTGAAAATGATTCACGCATTTCAGATCCATTACGTACCCTAAACAGTGACATTATATTCATATAGATGCCTTGGAAAATAATGTAGTATCACTAGCATGTTAATTTCAGGTATTCAGACAATGTCATCAGGAATAAAGTCTTTGAGTTTAATAACTTTGAAACAAGTAGATAATGGTGATTGAGCATATTTCTTTATATGATTTTTGGCACTTCACTCGATGTAGGTAAATTCTAATGGATCTGAGGGTCTTAATTTCGAGTGGAATTATACACACTTCAAATTCAAGTCAGGAACAGTTGATTTTTCCATCATAATTCCACTCGAAATTAAGACCCTCAGAACCATTAGAATAGCTCTATATATACGCATCATGCACCTTCATTGTTCTTTTGAAATCGATATTTATAAAATCATTTGTGGTTCATCTCGAAGCTGAATGCTCGCTGTTAGCGTTGTATTCAGAATGGAAAAAGTAAAATAATCAATGAATAAATAAAAGCTACAGAATGAACTGATTTAATTTACCTTTTCTTTTGAGCAGATGCTTCTTCAAGCATTAGTCCTGCTGTAAACTATAAACACTAAACCCAGAGGATCTTTCATTTTCATCTTACATCGATAGAAAATCTACTAACGATTATCATTTTCGAGTTCAAAATTATATAAATACTTCTCGAAATATACCCAAAATATGAAGAACGGCCAAACCGCTCCTGTTGTATTTCAGTATAAAGACGGTCGGCTGGTATTTTAGAGCGTTTGAAGAACTCTACATTATAGAATATCGTTATTTACGGCTCTTCCCAGCATTGAAAATACATGTAGTTTCATCGTTATGTTCTTGATGAAAATATTAAAATAATCATGATCGGTTTTATCTGTTCGCGTGTCTTCATGCAGTCTACACAAAATGTAATGCACTAATGAGCTATGCATATATGATAATGAACTAAAAATGTTCTAATTAAAAGCGTTAATTAATGAAACCACTGAATATAAACTTATATAGATGCTCTCCTAGAACTCTAGAGTTCATGTTACAACGCCAAAAACTAATTATCTGGAACAAAGCTTTTGTTATACTATAGAGCAAAATCATGGAATTAGACACCTGTGAGATAAAAAGCTCATTATTCCTAGCCTCATTTTGCAAAAAGTTTTCTTCTTGTGATATCACTTCCTGAATATCGTTAAATTTGTATGTAATATATACTAATGTAGTACACTGGCAGTAAAAAAGAACTGCTCGGATGTTGCTAGTATCGTATGTAACAGGAATCGTGACAATGAATCTTTTAATATCCACTAACGGTCAAAAAGAACTGCTTAGATACAAATTCATACAAAAGAAGGCAAATATAGGAGAGGGCTTCACAGGCATTTTGGATAATTCTCTTATTCCAAGCAATATTTTATTAATATAATGCAACCTGGCACACCTCCAAGATAGTCAGGCAATGGTTTCAGGAAGAGGGAAACTGGAGTGACAGAAATGGATTGGCCTGCACAGTCAAAATACCTTAACCTTATCGAAAGTCTGTGGGACAATGTCAAGGGGATAGTGCAAGAGATGAGTTAATTCACAAAGCGTCTACGACTTATGGTTTGCTCTAAAGACTATCCATGGGATTAATTTCTTTTAACTACGATTACCACCTTAACAGAAAGTATGCTACGCCGTTCTAAGGCCGCCCCATGGGGACCATATGTAAGTCGTGATTCAACGGCTTAGTATACGAACGCCAATCCAAATAAAAAAGTCGTAAATTATAAAAGGCTTCTATTGTCAATCCATGCGGACCGAGTGCTCCAGAAGTATATACAGCCAAAACTTTGAATTCTTAATATTGCGCTATTGTAACAAGTGCAACCTATGGTTTATTATTTGCATATAATATTATTCTAATGCAGAACAAAAGCGTTTTATTTGAATAAAACGTCCTAATGGGATCTCTGTTGGAGTGTTAACAAAAATATTAATGTGTAATATCTCTAAAAGTGTAACGAGAACCTCTGAAAGTTTCACATATTTATGATGAATAATTTATGAAATCTTACTAGAGAACTAATTTGCATAATAATTTGGAGCATACTATAATGTAGTATGTTACGTTCAGACATTCAAATAATGTTATCACGATTCACGAAAAAGTCTTTGAGTTTGATAACTTTAAAGCATGTAGATAATGATACGTTGTGCCGGCATGGCGCTATACATATACGCAGCTCATTCATTGAACTTTTGAAAATAGTTATAATCATTTGTAGTCCATCCCAAAGCTGAATATGATATGTTCCGTATAAATATTAGCAGTACATTCAGAATGATAACTTAAAATCATCAATAAATAAAACCCACAGAAATCGACGGACTCTGTTACACTAAACGTGCAGTATAAAGTTGTACATATAGAATTGAAAACGGTGAAATTCATAAAATCAGCGTTCCTTTTTACGTTTGCCAAAATCGGATCGTTCGGTGACGATAAGTTTATTTTGCCTTTCCTTTTGAGGATCGGAAATCCTCCTGAGGAATCTAAAGTTGTCAAATACGAACATTTCTTGCGATCTGCTAACGCTTTCTCAGCATTGCAGACACTCTCTACAAATTAACACCCCTTAAAACTATAATTGTATTGCAAGTTGGAAGGAAAATTGCATGGTGTAACAGCGCCTATACGATTCAAAAAGTTGAAATGGTCTCATTAACAAGAATGCGTTACCTAGGTAACGCGCAGATGAACTGCATTTATGCATGTTGTCAGACATATATAAGACTGCATTTATGTTGTCAGACAGGCAGACCTATGCGTTATCCGAATAGGTCTTGAGTAGGGGTTGAATTGTCTGTCTACAAAATTTTAAAGGGGAAAATTTTGTCTAATTTTGAACTGTTGAATTTTGTCTAAGATATAGAGTTTTGAATTACCAAAACATGTCGCCAGTGAATATGGAATCGATTATGCAACCAAGACGTTTTCTGTTTGTATATGTCAAAGTCAGTCTTTCGTTGCTGATATTCATGAATCTCCAATCGTTTGGATATGGTCTTGATTTTGGTTTTCAAGGACAAAATGAAGGTACGTGTTGATTTGCGTGTAACTTTAGTTTTCACATGTAGTCGAATCACTTAAGCAATTATCGTAACGCAAATCATTGCGTGGAAACTCGCCTTGCTCCTTAAATTTAGCGAATTTTCTGTCACAATTGATTCGGAGGGAAAATTTTGGAAGTACGCATTTTGTGTGTGTTTTTGATCCACAATCGCTGAGTAATTTTCAAAAGGTTTGAAAAGGATGAAAAAGCTTCGGAGAACTGAGAAATTGAGATAAATACTGCGTCGTGTTGCCAATCTTGTCGGGATGCATGGTTTGGTAGCGATTTCTATAGTCGCGGGTTTTCTCAAACATACACTGATTGAAAATGTAGCAGGTCTTTCTGAATTTGACAGGAACACATAAATATCTTATGCCATAATAAGCAGAAATAGATACATAGACAACGTTATGGGCGTATACATGCTTATTACAGCTCATAATAAATTCATGATCAAATTTTCTTCGTTTGCCTTCACTCGGGAAAGTTTGAATTCGATCGCTAATTTTCACTTTAAAAAAATATTTGTCCATTTCTTTCTGTTATGAATTGTAGAAAGGTGCCTTTGGAAAGCTAAATAACTTCTTTTTCATTCTGCTTTTCTATTTTATCCCCCTTCCATTTTAATATTTACACCAAAAGTCTTTGTAGTACCAAGTTTGATAAAAAAAATTTGATAAAAAAAATGAGTTCGCACTGCTTATTCCAAGTTGTTGTGTAACAAGCTGTTGTATAATAAGCTCTTATAACACTCATTCACACACTCAGCTGGCGCGGATCCGACCGCATCGAAAGTGGTTCGAGCCACGGTAAGATTTTCCCATCTAGAATTTTCCAGTTTCATCCTTTTTGCATACGAAATGCAATTAAATATTCACGTCAATTATTTAGAAGTATATACTAATGTATATAATATAATGTGTAAAATAATGTGTAATATAATGTGTAATAAGCAAATGTATGTCCACAGCGAGTAATATCTTTCGTAATTGTTGTCATAATTATACCAATTCTTGTTAAAATTGCGTAAAAAAATCTTCCCAAATTGTGCTGAGTATGTTCGGAAGGTAGTCGCGAAATGGAAGCTGCGATCACAGCAACTAGTTGACACTTAAAACGGTGAGCGTGCAGACTATTCCGCAATTGTTACTGATTATAGTGACATTCGGACACGGCGCAGTGTAGCAAACCAATCACAGGGCAAGCTTTGGCCACGTGAGCCACGTTCCCTGATTTTGATTGCGCAATAAGGACGATAAACAATAAAATACGATACTTCTTGACTTCGATACTCGGGTGTAGTTTATACATAACACACTAAATTGACCAGTTCGCTGCATCCAGGCTGAATCAAATGAAATAATGAATGAATTCGTCGATTTAATGAACGAAATTAATTAAACAAAACTACTGCGTACTTAGTTTTATATAGATAGCAACTAAAGGCCCTGTTACACGGTACAATTTTTCTTGAAACCTGCAATGCAACTCTACTTTTGAGGGATGTATATTTGGGAATAACGAAACTTTTGTGTTTAAACTTCATGCACTTTTCTTCTGCAAGACTCTTCAATAAGTTACATTTCTTAGAAGTAGAATTGCATTGCAATTTGCAAGAAAAATTGCACCGTATGACAGGACCTTAAATATTTGAAAATTTCTCGTTTCGTCCCAGGCGAACGCTTAAAGGAAGTCGTCTTTCGGAAAAACAAGCAAAAATACTTGGCGAATCATGTCATCGAAACAAAACAAGCAAAGTCCGAGTTTCATTGCGGTTTGCTTTGTGCTCGTCATGGATCATGTACGTCAGCCAACTTCAAAACTTCTGGTATCGGTAAAGGTCGCTGTGAACTCAACAATAAGACACATCAAGCAACAACCAATGACGATGAAACAAGCAACTCCAAGTTTAACCATCTTATCATAATTAAACCAGTAAGTAAAGGCGTAGCTAAGTCACAGCTAATTTTAAGGATAATCGTATTGAGTAAACACTCGTACTAGCCGGGCTAGTTTTTATATTTAACTTATTTTGTATATAAAACGATATTTTGACAACATT